ACTCATCATTGGACTGGTCTGACCTCAAACATGGGCTGGATGAAGCCTCCCTGTTATAAATACTGATTAAAATTTAGTGTTACAATTACTGTACATAAATATGCCATACATGCATTCAAGTGTGGCCAAAAATGGAAAAGCAGAGATGATGTTAAGTTAATAAAAGTTACATTTTAATGTTTTTATTAAAATTACGACTGTTTGGATTGTGACACGATTTTTTTTTCTGTTTGCTTTTTCTTTCTTTTTGATGAATGCTTTTGACATTTTAAACAATAAGAAATAAAATAAATGGCCATAAATAGGCCTTTTAATTTTTTTTTGGTTAATTTAAAGATCAGATCAAAATCCCTATTGTAAACCCAAGAATTGACCGGTTTTGTGTGTGTTTTTGTAAAGAACATTATAAAACAAAAAGGCTAGAATCTGTCTGATCCCATTGAAGCAGCATTCCACAAATTCCAAACCCTAAAAGCCCACCATCATCCCATCATGTGGCCCGCTTCATGCAGAAGCACATGACCTGTTCCTGCCTGCCTCTTGGAAGAATAAGATTCACTATTTTCCGCGAGGAGTTAATTAAATTCGTACACTTTTTTTTTTTTTTTTTTTGTCCGCCTGGTGAGCAGCTTCCGGCTCCCCGGGTCACGTGACTCAGTGTTTGTTGTGTGCGGAAGGAAGCAGCGAGCCCAACAAAGTAGCTGTGGATTAACTCTTTCTCTTTTTGGGWCGAAACAAACCTTTGAACCGACATGTTGGGTTTATTCACCGCCAAAACCTCTGAGTGAGTCCACGTTGCGTCAACTTGACGTTTTTATTTTTATTTATTTTTCCTCTTAGCGACACTTTTATGAAAGGAAGTTTAGTAGAAGTTTGCTGATTCGCCCTTTTTTAGGGTTAAAACTATCAAACTGAACAAATTAGATGTTGTTTTTATAATGCATATATGTTAAAGCCAGGATCACGCAGGCGCAGAAAGTGCCTGTCTGTGGAAAAGTGTGRACTTTGATCTCTGTTAATGTCAATATTCTGCTAAACATCAACATTTGTGGGCTCTTTAAAAAAAAAAGGAAACAATGAAATGCATTTTAGATAAGCCAACACACATCTGGTGCACTGAAAGTGAGCCTACACTGAAAACCAYTTCATTTTATGTCACCACAGTGTCATTTTTTCAGTGATTTTTCTTTCCAGRGTGAATCACTGAAAGCGGGGTAAAGCAGGACCGGAGCCCATCTGAGGTCCAGATGAAGTGTCTGCTGGTAGCCAGCGAGAGCGCCGAGGTCCTTTTCCACTGGACTGACCTGGAATATCAGCAGAACATCCAGGAGCGGTATGGAGCTGCGCAGGAAGAAGGGGAGGAGGTAAGACGGTGGACAGTCAAATCAGAAATAAGTGTTTTCTCTCCGTTTGATTTGTAACTTTTTTTGTTTTTCTCGCCTTGTTTTAGCTTCCTGCATTTGAGGACATCCTGAGCACGCTGTTTGCTCCCATCATCATCTCCTACAGCACCATGGAGGACAGCTACACCTCCTTCACGACAGAAGACAACCACATCTACGTGCTCCACCAGGTATTGTCCGCCTTTCAGAATAAAAGCAGTCTGTATCACTTCCTGCAGATCATGTTTTGTTTGTAACTTTAATCTCCTTCGACCGAGTTCTAGAGTACAGTATTTGACAGTAAAGCGCACTTGTATGGCAGTGACTTAACGACTTGAATGCAGGCCTTTCATTTCACAGGCTGTCATGTGAGTCTGGTTAGGGAACCGAGCACAAGCACATGATGGGGTTACGTAGTTATTTAGATCACACACAGCAGAATGGGGTTCACGTTAGCCCTCTTCTCAGCATTTCCTATTATATTCATGTGCATAAGATAAAACTTTATTATTGCTCGTGTTAGCAAAATATCTCATTAACCACTGGGTGGATTTTAATGAAACTGTATTTGCATGTACATTTTTAAAGCAGAGGTGTCAAACTCCTTTTCACTCAAAAGGCATTTTGTGTTTAACTTCGACTAAACATAAAACATCACGTTCCTCATCTCATTTGCTACAGCCGAGCACCGCTAGCAAACAATAACGGAGCTCTACGTGGTATTTCCTGCATAGGAACAAGGTTCTAACTGGTCCTCTTAAACACTGACAGACTGAATGTGAAATAAATAATACAGAAATACTATAAAAAGTAAAAGAAAGCAAGTTTTCTGACAGGGATTCACTGGAAGTTGGAGTTACAGTTTAAATTTACAATTTGTATGTGGGAAATTCCCACTTCCAAATACAACCAGGCAAAAGCAAAAGTATCATCWTGTCGGCTACCTTTGAATCTTGTGCACCTCCACCTAGTGGTGGGATGCCGTCATTTTGTGGGTAAAAAGATCGAAATGCATCGTGGGAGATGTAGTTTATGGTCAGTGCTGGCTTTGAAGCAGCTTGTTTTGAGACATTAACACGGGGCTTTTTAACTAAATTGCTCAGGGAGCCAAAGTTACGCAAAGCCAACGGCTCAAGGGCCAGACAAGTATTTAAATCTGTCACCTTTTCCACTCCTCACGTGTTAACCTCTGCAACATGGCTGTAAGCAAAGAGAAACTTATAAATAACTCATGAAAGAAACAAGCCTACCATTGTTTTTCCTGTGAAATTGTCGATAAGTTTGATGTGTCACATGACCCTCTTCCCATTGGGAAAAAAAACTCTAAAGTTGGATCCAAAATGGCCGACTTCAAAATGGCCACCATGGTCACCACCCATCATGAAAAGTTTCCCCTGTCCCAAATACTAACGTGCCACAAACAGGAAGTTAATATCACCAACCATTCCCATTTTATTGAGGTGTATCCTTATGGCCCACCCTGTATTTTGTTTGTTTATTTATTTATTTATTTTTGAGGCGAGGGGTGTCACCGGGCCAAATTGGACATGATTTTTAGAGGCCTCAGCCTGTACATAAATGGCTGAAAATCAGTTAATTTAGCAGATTTTGGGCTAAAACTTAGTGTGATGGTAGCTGAGAGTCGTCCCCAACATATTATTTGAGAGCTACGACATCTCATGTAATCTTGCACGAGTTTATCAAGATTTGACCAAAATGACTTAAACTCTGTTCTTTCTCATCAAAGGAGGATCTTTGTTTAAACTGTCCTGAAGGATGGTGGGGGTGTTTCTGTGAGGAGTTCTAGGCCTTTTATTGTGTAGTTATGTTTGCGTTTTGTTTGCCTTCAGTTTGACGAGTGTCTCTACATCGCCGTGAATGGAGACGGGGAGGAGAAGGAGGATGATCTGAGGAGAAAAATGTACGTGATGAAGAAGATGATTGAGGTCATGTTTGGCATGGTCACCTTGAGCGGGAACCTCCTGAGAAAAGAGTAAGAGCCTCTGCGTCTTTTCACAGAACGTCAGACTAAAGTTTAACCGGACTGCTRGTTGAGTCGTGACCCGTGGTTGTTTGTGTCTCCAGGCTTCGTCCTCAGGACACGGAGCAAAGGACACGTCTGTGGAAGTATCTGCAGAGTCTGATAGAGACCTACACCCACCTCCGAGACAACGACCAGAGTTTCTTAGTTGAGGTTTGTTACAGTCAACACAAATCTTTGAAGGAGACTTTTGTGTATTTTTGTTTTTGAGTATTAAAGATACTTTTCAAATAAAACAAAGCTTTAAAGGCATCCACGATTAGTTGTAACATTAGATTTTATTTGATAAACAAATATTTTAACTGTAAAATAAAGACTGTAAAAATACTGTAGGCTATTTAGTTTTTATAATTTTTAAAGTAAAAGTTTAAAACTATATTACATGGACAGGGCCATTTTATTTACACGCAAAGCATTCTGGGTAAATGATGATGTGGATAGGTCATCTGTTCGAGGCTGCTAGCGAGCTATATCCACCCTGAAGGTTAATCTTGGACAATGTCTGATGATTGGCTCTAAATGAAACCARAGAGCGTTGACAGAGAGGAGAAGGTAGAAATGACTCAGCCTGTAACTGAAAATATGGATGGAGGACAACAGAGCTGCTTCATGGAAGAAGAACTTCAGCTTAGCCTGTTAACTTTAGCGTTAGCCCCAACTCTATCACCATATATATGAATTAGCTCAGCGCTACACATTCTCCTCTCGTCACTGAGGTCCACCTCCACGACAGAGAAGGGAACACAAGAATGACTCAGGCTGTAACTGAAAATATGGATGGAGGACCTCAGTTTAGCTAGTTTGTCACGCTAGCGCTGAGCTAATGCATAAAGGTTATATAGGGTTAGCGCTAACACTAAAGCTAAAAAGCTAAGCTGAGGTTCTTCCATGAAGCAGCTCTGTTGTCCTTCATTCATATTTCCGATTACAGGCTGAGTCATTTCTACCTTCTCCTCTCTRYCAACGCTCTCTGGTTTCATTTAAAAGAGTCAATCATCAGATATTGTCCAAGATTAACCTTCAGGGTGGATATAGCTCACTAGCAGCCTCGCACAGATGACCTATCCACGTCATCATTTACCCAGAATGCTTTGCGTGTAAATAAAATTGCTCAGTCCTTGTGAAAATATATTTTTAAAAATTTACAAAACTGACCAGCCTACAGTATTTTTACAGTCTTTTATTTTACAGTTAAAATAAATGTTTATCAAATAAAGTCTAATGTTGCAACTAATTGTGGATCCCTTTTAAGTGTTGCTGTAGGTTGGGGGCAACCTAAATGATGGGAGGGGCCACAGTTTTTTGTTGATACTACCAGAGGGCCACAAAGTGCTGCACACTCCACACGGTKCAGTAACTTAACATATTTACTTCTCAAATGCACGTATAACAGTTGTACTCTTGTTTAATAAAAAATAAATAAATAAACACGTACTGCAGCGAGCTGACGCCTTGATGCAGACTCCTACCTGGAAGTGGTTCTAGTAAAAAGTGGCTGTTTTTTATGTACTTACAACTTCAGTAACCATCTCATATTTAGCTTTGTGCAACGTGTTGTAGTGGTGACTTACGTTAAAATCCTTCATGGCGGGCAGCGTCTCTAAGCAGACTAAACACAAAGGTTTTGCGATGAAATTGTGCGAACAGATACCTCCCACCAGATGCCTATCCCTGATGTAGGTCATCATTTTGAGGACGTTTGCACCAATTAAATAAAAAAATATAAACACTCATTTAAAAGATTTTTAAAAAATATTAAYGCAGAAGCTCTTGTTCTGACTCCATCTCATCCTTCTCTCAGGCAGTGGAGAGGTTGATCCATCCCACTCTGTGTGAGATGTGCATAGAGTTCCTGGAGCGTAGCCTGGTCCAGAAGCTCAACAGCAGTGTGGAGAGAGCAGGAGAGGAGGTTCTGCACGCCTTCATCCTGGTTCACACCAAGCTGCTGGCTTTCTACTCCAGGTACAGCTTTTTTATTATATTACTGCCTCTTACCTGACTCGTTATTGTTCTCGCCTGTGTAAGAGTTTTCTGACGTATTTATTCTGTTTTCTGACTGCAGCCGCAACGCCAGCATTCTCACCACCCCAGACCTCCTGGCGCTCATCATCATGGCCCAGAATTTGTATCCCTGCAATGGGGACCTGGATGATCCAAGTCCTGAGGTAGCAAATCACTCACAGCCGCTCAGACAAACAAAACACAAAGTGTCGGGCGCTTTGATTCTGTCGTCCCCCTGTTTTTTTTTTTGTTTTTGTTTTTTTGTTTTTTTACTCCGTGTGTTCTTTATGCTTGTAAAGGACATTGAGAGCACGTCTGGTTCTGGTCCGGAAAGTTTTTACACCCCAGAGCCCTCGCCATCCAGCAGAGACTCGAGCAGTTCAGGTTGGTTGTTGAGTAGAATATTATTTTTTCTTTTCTTTATTCATATCATTAAAACAAAACAAATAATTTTATATTTAAATTAGGAAAAAAATATATATGTATTTCAAAATCACAAAAAAATGAAACGAAAGGCAGCAGAGAGAAGAAAAAAATCTTCTATCTGCCCCTTTTTTCCCAAGAATAAGTTCATATAACAAAAACTATGTTATTAACAAAACAAAAGACAAGAACATCTAATCCCTCTAGAACAACAAACATTATTATTTCATAAAAATAATAAATTTTTTGAAGAAGAAGCTGTGACAAGTTAGCAGTCATAAGAAGCTCACATAAAATATGTGGCATTTTGCTGAATTTTCATGTGGTGTTTTGTCATCAGAGAAGTGTGGCAGAGGAGGAACTCCCGTGTTTGAGTTTGTTGACCCAGACATCCAGGTGAGAACAGGACTCACGATGAAATCATCAAATAGTTTTTAGAAGCGATGCTTCTCACACGATGGTGTTGCCCTCAGATGGCTGAGGACAGCTTACACACTCTGGAAGTCGGGCCGCCCGACCCTTCAACCCCTCGCCGAGTTTTCCTCGACGTGTCCCTCAAAGATGGATTGTATCCCATGATGCCTCACTCCATGTACTGTCTCCCGCTGTGGCCCGGCATCACGCTGGTGCTGCTCACTAAGGTGCCTGGATATATGCAGCTTTTTCTTTAACAGAGGAYGGATAAAAAGTGTAAAAATGAATTTATGCAGCTGACTACACGCGTTTTGCTCTTTTAATATTCATGTCAGATCCCCACCAGTGCCGTGGCCGTGTCGGTGTATAAATACCTGGAGGACTTCGACAAGCTGGAGAAGCGTTTACGCGACAGCCAAGGGAGTTCTGCTGCAGCCAGGAGCCCTCTGAACATGCAGGACGTTCGCAGCAAACTGGACAAATTCATTAAAGCTTTGGGGCCTAATGAGTTGCAGGTTTGTGATATTATTTGTCTCGGAACAACACTTGTTTTGTATGTAAAGCTTTTTTAAGGTCACATTTTTATCCCTAAATTTTGGCAAAAAACCATAACCAGGGTTAATCACTTTTATTCCCAGTTTGCACAATTACATAGTGTCTGGACAGAGTTTAAGAACCGAGCTTTCGCCAGAGGAAAATCTGGATTCACCAAAGAGTAAGTCCTCTGCTTCCCCCTGCTGGCCAAACAGCCTCATGTYATTTGAAGCTCCACTCAGGGATTTTGTGCACGTTTTGTTTCAGTCTTATCCCGTTGTGTAAGAAAATGAAGACCCAGCTGTGCGGCATATACCGACAGTGTTTTCTCACTGACCCACCTGACGTTTCTCACCGYCTCTCCCTCGGTCTGCAGGAACGAGCCCAGGCTATGGTGCGGTGCGTATCCATCCACCGAGAMRTTTCTTGTTGTTTTTAACTTATTTTAGTACAGTTACATTTGTATTGTCTTTTTATTCCACACTTTCATTCTAAATCTCTGCAGAGAGAAACTGATGGACTGGAAGGACTTCCTGTTGGTGAAAAGCAAAAGGAACATCACAATAGTGTCATATCCTTTTAATTTACCAGAACACAGGCATGATTTGTATGGAGGAGCGACTCTGACATAATTAGAAATAAA